GAAAAAACAGAGGCAGGAGGAGATTAAACATGTTGCCCACGATTTAACATCTTTAGGATGTGGTTACCAACGCCTTGCTAATGGCGGACTTAGTTTGGGTGAGAAAATGTCAAACTGGCAAGTCTGTGTTAAAGCATAAGCCCTGTAAAATGCTTTGCAGGAACTCAAGCCCATGATATATTATTCCTCCTTAAAAAACAGAAATTGAGAACAGCTTCCTCTCCTTGCATCTCGGGTCTCTACGGAACCTCACTTAGGAGGCACAATCACTGAGCATCTTTGGTGCAGCAAGCACCATGCTGGTATCTTCCAGTAGACTGCAGTCTAATCCCTGCCAGATAGCAGGGTCCCTGCTCTTAGAAGAGATGAGAGTGAGGGTTAAAGTCAAATGTCGTTTAACAGCAGATTATGGTTTCACATTTTCGTAAAGAATGGTCAAATAAGGGAAGAGCCACTTAGCCTGAGAGGAAGCTAGAATAAACTAATTCAACAAGTAAATTAAATTAGCTTCATGATACATTATGTTAAGAAAAGGAAGGAAAAAAAAAATTAAGAAAGGGGAGATGCTCAATGATGTCAAATACCTCAAATGAAATCACAGAAAATAAGGCCTGAGAGAAAATGACCCACTTTCCTCTTAATTATACGGTTATCATTCACTATAAGCAGCTTTCTTTGACCTATCTAGTCATGTAAATTAAAATTAAAATTAAAATTGGGCTCAAATTTACAACACAGAGGAGAGGCTTACAAGAGATTCCTTTCAGGTGTGTACACACCTACCACTAGCCTTTCTTTCCTCTGGGAGAGAGGAGAACAGGCCCCAGTTTCAACTCACCAGTCGGCCGGCCTGGGCTGGGCTTACTGGGTTCATTCTGACTCACAGCAACCTCACGGGACAGAGTAGAACTGCCCGGCAGGGTTACCAACGCTGTAACCTGTACAGAAGCAGACTGCTTTACCTTTCACCCTCAGAATAGCTGGTTCTAATCCCTGACCTTTTGGTTAGCGGCCGAATGTCTTAAACACTGTACCACCAGAGCTCCTGGTAGGGTTATAACTTATCCCTAATAATAAGCAAACCAAACAAAGGGATGTATTTCTCAAAAGTGGTTACCTTAGGTCCACATGCTTAATGTGAGGCATTTTTCTTAGAGCCTGTAGCCTCAGAGTCTCTACACAGTTTCCGGACATACAAAGTTTCTCCACAGCAGTCAATTTCTCTAATACCCCTGGAATGGTAGTGAACTCGTTGAAAGACAGACCCAGGTAACTAAGCTGGTGCATGTTCTCCAACTCAGCAGGAAGTGACCGGAGGAAATTTCCATCCAACAACAATGTCTGCAAGCTGTTAACGAAAGCATAAGAATCATAAAGAGAAATGTGTAAGTTTGACGTCTTTATTATCAATACATAAATACAATAAATATCAATCACGCAGTACGTATTGCTCCTTGCAAAATGCCTAAGGGGAGAGCCCAGGGTAATGGTCCAGAGAGACAAAGTCAGAGACGAGCATCTTCATCTTTCATTGCAAATAAAATTATGCCCACGTTTCCCAAAATGGATAGACATAACAGGGGCAACGGGAGCCAGCCGCTGTGTGAGCCAGGTCCACACGTCCATTTTCCCCAGTTGTTCTTCAAAGTTCATTTCTGCATTAAGAGTTTAACACAACTCAGATGGGAGAAAGAAGGGCTGCTTATGCACAGGGAGACAGCTCGGGGGTCAGGAGTGCATGGAGGGATGGACACAGGGAAGAGGTGACTATCGGGCGGAAGTGGGAGGGGTGCTGTTGCATTGGGGTAAATTGTAGTCAATGTCATGAGACAAAGTGTGAGTGAACTGCTGTATGGAAAGTGAATTTGCTCTATCAAATTTCACTCAAATCACAATTTAAAAAAAAAAGAGAGAGTTTAACACAACTCAGAAAATGAAAAGTAACCTCCCTCCCACCCATTTCTTTGTTTAGACTGACTCGTATAGAGGGACCTTTAGTTTTAAATAGGGATATTCTGCTTTTTTCACAAGATTGCAAAGAGTGTATGGAAAAGTGAAGCACTGAGTTCACCATACAGATGAGGCTGTGCTGGTCTCCTGATCTGGGCAAAAGCTAAGACTTCCACGAACAGCGCAGGCAGGAGTCCTAATCATGTGTTGCAGCCCCAGTGCACAGGGGCCACTAGGCGGCATCCCTGGTATCTATGGTGACCACTGTGCAGCGGTGTGAAATACGCACTTGTGCATAACTCCGACGGTGGCCGGAACGGCTCTCAGGGCATTGCAGGACACGTTCAGCTCTGTCAGGGTTGGAATACTGCACACTGCTAACGGGAAGTCCCCTAAATGATTATTGGAAAGGTTAAGACTCTTCAACTTGGTGAACCTATTACAATAAAACAACACAAAAGGAAAAAGAAAAAAGACAAATGTCAAGGGTGCATAAAACATCGCTTAATTTGAGCCTAGCCTTAGAGGTAACCCAGCTGGACCCGAGTCTGACTGAGGTGGGATAGAGCCCTCAGAGCTGGAAGGCACATCTGACTGTAAGGCTGGTGTTTTACCTCAAATATAAACGTTACGTTTAAAAGCAAACTTGCCATCTTGAAAACCACTGAATATTTGAGAAGGCCGGTTCTGTTGGAGTACACTAGTCTGCTTTTCTGTCAGTTTGATTAACACCCTTGTAATGGAGAAGGAGGAACGAGAGCAGGCAGAGGTGAACGTGTAGCTCTTGCAGACTTATGCATGATCCCAGACAAGCCAAAAACTTTTCTACCTCACTTCTCTCCAAGGAGCCGAGGTGGCACAGTGGTCAAGCACTTGGATGCTAAGTGAAAGGTCGGCAGTTTGAACCCACCAGCTGCTCTATGGGAGAAAGATGTTACAGCCTTGGCATACTACAAGGATGGTTCTACTCTGTCCTATAGAGTCGCTATGAGTTGGAATCAACTCGATGGCAATGGGTTCTCTCAAATCCAAAACTGAAATAATAAAGACGTATCAAGTTGTCAAAGCTCCTCTAAGGTAACCAGGTCTGCTTAGTGCCACATTCAAGAGCCAATCATCATGCCTCGATTTCAATACAACACTGAGCCGGCTGAGCCTTGCTTGAGTGAAAGCACCTCCCGTTTTGCTGGAACTGCACTTTGCTTGCCCGGCTTATGCTAAGTCTCTCTAAACCTCTTCCCCTTGTCTCCTTCTCCCTCTTTTCCGCCTCCCCTTGCTACCCCCAAAATTTAGGTACAACAGGTCCTGGATGAGGTGACTGACAAGATCTGTCCCCAACGGTCCTTGAGTTGGATTTGTAGATAAATCAGAACAGACACATAGAGTCCTTATTTAGCCCTACTTCAGGAGATGCGCTCTGGTAATTAAGGTGTTTGGTTACTAACTAACAGGTAGGCAGGCTGAACTCACCATGGATCCATGGGAGAAAGAGGAGGCAGTCTGCTTCTGTAAAGACTGCAGCCTTGGAACCGCTATGGAGCAGCAGCACTACTCTGTCCTACAGGCTTGCTATGAGTTGCAACTGACTAGATGGCCTTGGGTTTAGCACAGGCAAGGTGCTCTCATGGTGTAGTGGTTAAAGTGTTCAGCTGTTAACCTGATTCAAACCTACCACCTGCTCCAGGGGAGAAAGGGGAAGCGGTCTGCTTCTGTAAAGATTTACAGCCTTGGAAAACCTACAGGGGCAGTTCTACTCTGTCTTATAGGGTTGCTATGAGTTGGAATCAACTCCATGTTGGTGGGTTTGGTTTTTTGCTTAGTGCAGGAAAAGGCTCAAAGCCTTTTTAATGGTTTAAAAGCTGCATATGCAGCAAGTGGAGATGATTTTGACTATGAATTTGTTGGGAGAGGGGGTTGGTTCAATTGCTTCAAAGGGAGGGCAAATTTACATCAAAGGCAGGTCCGGTTGTCCCCAATCCTGACTTTCGTTCCTAACCGGGGACTGCCTGTCTTCCTCCTGGCTCTTTCCTCTGTCACCTTCTCCTCTCTCTCCAGTGTCTTGCTTGGCATCTTTTTACTACGACGTAAACAGCTCTCTCAACCCTGTCGCAAGCCTCCCACCACATTTCCAGCCCTCCTGTTCTATTGTTTTGCTAATTAGTCTTCCATGTTCTCAGTCACTCAAGCAACTAATGTTATCTTAACTGGTGATCTCTCTGCTCATTCTGTGTTTGGGCCCCTGCCGACCCCTGCACTGTTTCTACCTGAGACGAGAATCCCTGGTCATCTTGTGGTGCTAATTCTTCTAAAAAGTGCCCAGGCCTAATACTAAGCAGCACATGCTCTGCTCAGAACAGAGACACACATCCTAAAATTCAATCCAATGCAGTCCAATCAGCGTTCTGAAGAAAACGCTGGGGAAGCTACTCGCTGACCTCTGTACTGAACATGGGTAGGCCTTACAGCTCACTCTAAACGAAGGGCTGACAATGCGTCTCACAGGCTAACAGTGCTGCTCGATCTTTAGAACAGCTATTAGCTTGGATGGCTGAGTGTAAATGGAGTAAGTTTTTAAATTAAAAAATAAACCTAGGAAAGCACTGTTAGAACGGAAAACCATTTTTCAGTTTGTCTGCTTTGTATTTTCTAATTTGACCCATGAGGCCTTCTGATAGAATGCCCACCTTTTGTAACCTACAAACACAAGACAGAACTACAGGACCTATGTATGACTCCTAGTCCGGTGGTTCCCAGGTGTCGCTGGGGGACTCCGACACCACGTAACTTTGTGATGTCACACAGATCAAATTCAGAAGCAGAGAGGAGAGTCCAGCTCTCTTCTGTTAAGCAGACATCAGAAGAGCTGCAAAGCTCTACAACAGTGATGCTCTCCTGTTTCCTTCATTTTGGAAAATAGCTACATTTTATAAGCACTGGTATTTGTGCTAATGTGTAACGAGCTTTATTATTTTTAAATGAATTGATAGACATTATTTTTCAGCTTGAACGTATATGATGGTCAACACTGCCATAACCCACATAAATAAAAGCCCTTGAATCAGTGGCTGTGGAGTTGATTCTGACTCCTGGCGACCCCTCGTGGGTCAGAGCAGAGCTGTGCTCACGGGGTTTCCAAGGGCACATTTTGAAGACAGAGATCACTGGGGCTTTCTTCTGAGGCACCTGAGTGGATCTGAACCACCAACCTTCCATTCAATAGCTGAGCACTCAACCGTCGCACCACCCAGGGACACCCCCAGTTCTTCGGCATCCTCACTATTAGAGAGAGAGAAGGAGTCCTGAGGTAGGGCTGCTAGACAGAGTACAGGATGTCCAGTTACACCCGAGTCTCAGAGAAACAACTGTTTTTCATATATTTTTCTAAAATTTTCCATTGTGATTTGGGTGCAAATTTACAAAGCAGATCCGTTTTACTCTCAACAGTTCATGCACATGTGGTTTCACAGTCCCAATTATAAAAAGCTCTGCTCCCCTCTCCTCCCTGTGCCCACCCCCTCCCTGTGCCCACCCTATCTGTGCATTCCTGTCTGTCCAGCTTTCCCTCTATGCAAATGATGCCTTCTGATGTCTCACATTTTGTGTGTTTAAGAATAAGCACATCTCAAAATATTGTGTGGGATATACTTATACTAACCAAATTATTCACTGTTTATCTAAAATGTGACTTTAACTGGACATCTGGGTGTGCGTGTACACATGCACGTATGCAAGTGACACTAAATCCCACAACCTACCTGTGGCAGTTCAGTTTGTGTGTCAACTTGGCTGGGCCTAGTTGAGTGGACAGGCAGCTGGATGTAATGATTCCCTATGATGGGATTGGTAATCAATTCCATGGTGGAATATTCTGTGAGCAGCTGTGGTCTGCTTCCTATATGTAAGGAGGTATGTAAGGAGGACCCTTGGGGAACGGTCTCTAGCTTATGGCACACTTGAACCCTGCATGAAGCAGTGTCGTTCAGCAGCCTGCCATGCTCTGTTGACCTTGGGACTTTCAACGGACTTGAATGAATGGCCTGCTGTGTGGTTTGGTAACATTAGGACTGTGCCTTTTTACCTGTCAACTTTGGGCTTGTCAGCCTCAGCAGCCAGCAGCTGTCTGAGTGAAGAAAAGCCTCTAGCTTCAGTGGGCTTGGAGCAGGAGGCAGAGCTGAAGCCCAAGGTTGAGGGGCTTTCACCCAGCCCCTAGAGCCTAGTACTTTGAACTTGGACTTAAAGCCTCCCAACTGTAAGAGAATAAATTCCTGTTTGTTCAAGCATCCCATTTGTGGTATATTCTTATCAGAGCAGCACTAGGTAACCAGAACACTATCCTAAGGCTAAAATAAAATGTTTCATAACTGCTGCCTACTCCAAAAACAGTATCCCACTTTCCTCCAAACAAAAACAGTATCCCACTTCCCAGTCACTTTTCCTGGCTTGGTAGAACTGGCCATCATCTTAAAATCTGCATGCAATTAAACTGAACATGGATGGGGAGAGAATAGTGCCTAAGGCATTTGACTGCTAATCAGAAGGTTGGCAGTTCAAATATGCAGTGTAGTAAATTACATAGTGTGGCTTTTCTAGTCCTAAGTCTTTGTAAACTCCCTGGTGGAATTTGCCATGAGCAACTGAGTAGCTCCTGATTGCTACAGTTATCCACCTGGACTATTTCTGTTGAGAGTGGCAGGAAGCAATCCTCTGGGAAGTTCTCTCTCTCTCAGGCATATAGAATTCTGATGTCGGGACTGGTTAGCTTGGCCACTCTGCCAGGCTCAAAAGGAGCCCTCCTAGATGCAGAAGGAGTCTCTCAATGCCAGCTGAGACACACGCTGCTGAGAGACACGCACTTGGTGAGAGAGACACAGAGAGACATGCTGCTGAGAGAGACACGAGACACACGTTACTCAGAGAGAGATGAGAGACACACACGCTGCTGAGAGACACACACTTGCTGAGAGAGACACAAGAGACATGCTGCTGAGAGAGACACGAGACACACGTTACTCAGAGAGAGATGAGACACACGCCCTGCTGAGAGACTGCCAGCTGCTGAGTGAGACGGCCAACACGGAGAGACCGAGTGCGTTCCTGAACCTGAATTGCAGCCTGGTGCTTCCCTAATAAACCCCATAATCTGTGAGTTCTGTGTGGCCACTGCAGCAAATTATCAAACCCAGCAGAGAGGTGGTGGGTGCTGCGGGAGAACGGTTGGTGACAAGATTAGTAAGAGGGTTGAAGGGTGGTAGCACGTCTGGTTGCATAAGAGCAGGCCTTGGGCTGCTGATGGCAATTCTGTCCTCTTGCAGGGTTAGAGGAGGTCAAAAGGTACCGCCTCCTTGCCCCTTTGGCAAAATCCACCAGCCATTCTGCAGAAGACTAGGCAATCTACTTCCGTAAAGATTTACTGCTTCGGAAACCAAAGGAGGTCAC